GGCTGAAAAAACGACTAAGTCCCATGGCGAATGGGACTTAGTCTCTGCAGCTGAAATAAGGCTGAAAAAAACGGCTGAAAAAAAGACTAAGTCCCATCGCCGAATGGGACTTAGTCTCTGCAGCTGAAATAAGGCTGAAAAAAACGGCTGAAAAGAAGACTAAGTCCCATCGCCGAATGGGACTTAGTCTCTACAACTGAAATAAGGCTGAAAACTGAAAAAGGGCCCCGAATTATACGCCCGAATGGGACTTAGTCTCTGCAGCTGAAATAATTTCCCATTTACTGAACCAAGTGGGAAATAGCAAGGCAGGCACAAAGGGTTTGCACCAGGTCTGGGGACACAGGGGACACCGTCTTAAAGGGGCCGTGTCCCCAACAAGTCTGGGGACACGGCCTTAAAGGGGCAGTGTCCCAATCTTCCTGATGTCCCAAAAAAGGTGTTTAAAGGGCCAGCACCAGTCACATAAAGAGTCCATAAGCCCCAATATGCCCACCGACAGTCTTAAAGGGCCATACACACCAAATAAAAGTGCATACATTTTCACAATCTCCCAGGGGCCATAGTCATGCGGGAGGAGGCTGGCAAAGAGGCTTCTCCACAACCCAGGGAAACAGGGCAATTTGCCATTTAAAGGGCCCGTTACAAATAGCAGTTTGTAACAAGGTGTCAATCCATATCTGCCAAGTGACCCGATGTAGGGGGAACAGTCCCTATTCTGCTCTGTGTCAGTGTGTATCAGGGGCTCTGAGGACAGGTGTCAATCCATATGTCAAGGTGTCAATATGTCATATGTCAGGTGTCAATCCATATTGATTGTGATTTAGGAATGTTAGGTGATTTCTGCCCTTTATGGATTAAAACCAGACTCTGTATCAACTGTGTAATTTTCCATGGGAGTTTTGCCATGGATCCCCCTCCGGCATGCCACAGTCCAGGTGTTAGTCCCCTTGAAACAACTTTTCCATCCCTATTGTGGCCAGAAAGAGTCCCTGTGTGTTTTAAAATTCGCCTCCCCATTGAAGTCAATGGCGTTTCGGGCGGTTCGCCGGTTCGCGAACATTTGCGGAAGTTCGCGTTCGCCGTTCGCGAACCGAAAATTTCGGGTTCGCGACATCACTATTCATAAGATTGCTACCCTTGGGAGGGTGAGAAGCCTGATTTCAATTTTGTTTGTGAGTGCACCTATTTCCACTAATATATCACTCACCTATTTAGTACTGTACTATGCTATGTCAGTCTTTTAATCTTTTATACAGATTCCGTTTATGAACCATGACCTATATTTCAGGTTATCTGTACTTGTTCTTATATTATCACGTATTTGGGAGGTGTTTTTCCACTTGGTTTTTCAATTATATGTGTGTTAGGTGTTAGTGAGGTACACCTGGGAGCCCTCCCTAATATATGATTTTCACATAATTTTGTATAGTGTGTATACTCTACTGCTTTGTTGGGATTTCCCCATAACCTGTCTCCCCCATTCCCCCCGGTTCCTACGCCCATGATTGGGGCTCCTCGACATATGGTTTGGGGACAAGGAGAGAGCTGCAAATTGATACGAAAGGCACTGGCAAGGCTATGACTAACAGTATGCCTAGAGGAATATTCACTAATCATTGCATAGGTAAAACAACTTATTTTGCAACAACTATTTAGCTCAGAGAGGTGAGGAGCAGAGGGAGGCAATGTGAGTCACAGCTAGGGGAGGTGTGATTAAAAGGTGCTGCATTAAAAAGTGATTTAACGCCTTAAAGTAGAGAAATGTGCAGTGAGACTGTAGGGGCAGGATCTATACACCAAAACCATTTGTACAAGTTTAATTCTGTATCTACAGATTCAATAAAGAAAACAGAGCAAGCCAGAATCCATTCACTTTTCTGCCATTTGGAGATGGACCCAGAAACTGTATTGGTATGAGATTTGCTTTGCTCAGTATGAAACTGGCCATCACTGTCCTGCTGCAGAATTTCAACTTCCGGCCTTGCAAAGACACACTGGTGAGAACAGTTGTTTTTACTAACAGCAGCATGAGGCTAATTTACTGCGTGTTTGCTTGTATTTTGGGGCTATTGTTCTTAACTTGCATTTAGAAACATAGAATGTGAAGGCAGATAAAAGCCATTCACCCATAAAGCCTACACCATTGTCTTAATACCTGCATTAGTCTCTTATACCTAGGATAGCCTTATGCCTATCCCATGCATGTTTAACCCCTTAAGGACACATGACATGTGACATGTCACGATTCCCTTTTATTCCAGAAGTTTGGTTCTTACGGGGTTAAACCACTTCACTTTGTTAACCTTTACCACTTTAGCTGGCAAAGCATGCATCCACACTTTCTCAGTAAAGAAATGCGTTCTGATATTATTTTAAACCTTTGCCCCTCTAGTTTAAGACTATGTCCTTTTGTTGTGGTAGTTTTCCTTCTTTTAAATATAGTCTCCTCCTTTACTGTGTTGATTCCCTTTATGTATTTAAATGTTTCTATCATATCCTCCTGTCTCGTCTTTCCCAGGGCCGTCTTTAACGCGGGGCAAACG